TGGAATTGTTCGTATCATTCTGTATTGTCAATAATGTTCGTGTTAAAAGAAAGTAGTCGTTTGGTGAAGTTCGCAATATGTACGCTGTGTGAAGTTTCGAATTCATTCCTTGTTTCATGTAAACGATAGCTCATCAATCGTTAGTATTTCAACCACAGTCGAGTCATTGTTTTTTATTTATTTACGTCAAAACGATTAAAAACTGTATGTGACGTGCAATGGGGAGAAGTTAATTTGAAGTTACATTTATGTCCAGAAGCAAAACAAGGGGTCATTTCAGCATTTGCTCAAGGATCTGGGAAACTTGACGAAAACCTGATCGAGTTGGGGTGACGTAATAATGAATGTTGTATTAATATAATAGCTTATTAATGGTATGTAATAGCTCAATACTGTAATGTAATAGCTGAATATTGAGTGAATATTTCGTGTATTGTATAAATATCACCATTCTCGGTGGGGGGAACAATTGTATTATTTGAAGCCCGTTTAATTGCTCAACTCAACGGCAGTGTCAGGGTGCTGCAGTAATAAATTGCCCTGCATTCCTTGAGGACTTCGTGAGAGACAGCTCCAAGGGAACAATTCTTAAGGGGGTGTAGGAGTAACATGGGCAAAAGGTCGATTTTCAGTTTTTATTCCCATATTATACCCTATAGTTTTTAGTATTTTCCTAACGTTTTGACCAATTAGATCGTGTTAAGACGTTTAAAATTTAAATACCATCCTGGCAAGCGGCCACATTATAGGGCGTGGTTATGGAGCTGTTGGACAGGCATACGGAAATATGCGATTTAAAGGGCTTATGACATTTTAGAATGAGAAGTATCTAATTTTCTTTACAAAAGTTATTTTCCAACTTTATGTATTTTCACTTTATTTTAGTTAATTGTGAAGTAGCCATAAAAGAGGAAATTGACCTAATTAATGTGTATAAGTGTCAGTTAAAATTGGCTATTAAAGCAAGGTGCTTTGTTTCCAACTCCATTCTATCTTCCTATTCCTTCGGTGGGTTTTCTGTGAAGCGCAACGAGTCTACGCATTCCGCGCCCCCTTCTTCACACGCGGGTGATCTCGTCGCAGTCGCTTCTTATTCGCCTCTCGCGAGGGAGCTGCCAGGCCCCAGGGGCGGCGCTGCCCGCGAGTGTCACGCGCACGAGCTGGGGGCGGCGCGGCCACGAGGGAGAGCTGGGCGAAGCGGGACGGACGGAACGGACGGAACGGACGGGACGGACGGGACGGAC